TTATGTGGTGCTGAGGAATCGAACCCAGGGCCTCAGGCATGCAAGGCAAGCACTCTACCACTGAGCCAACTTCCCAGCCCCCCCCCTTTTTTTTTGTATCCTGCTACTGGTGGTTAATTGGAGATGAGTCTCATGGACTTTCTTGCCCGTGCTGGCTTTGAACTGCGATCCTCAGATCTCAGCCTCCTGAGTAGCTAGGGTTATAGGCATGAGCCACCAGCATCCGGCTTCGATGATACTCTTATCTCCAATTAACCACCAGAAAACCTGACATGGGACTGTGGCTCAGGTATTAGAGCACTCACCTTGAGCTAAAGAGCTCAGGGACAAAGTCCAGGCCCAGATTTTAAGCCCCAGGACTGACAAAAAAGAATCTTTGTGAGGAAGTTTGTCGCATCTGATTTAACAGGGGGACTTTTTTCCCCACCTTCATTTTAGTGATTTTATTTATTCTTAATATTTTAAGGACAAAGGTAGAGCCGGAACCGTACTCGGATGATATGGTTACTTGCAGCCAGATTGTGTACAATTACAATCCTGAAAAGACCAAGAAGGTAAATAGAACCTTGGAGCTAGAACCAAACAGTTGAAATGGAACCTTGAAAATCCCGATGATAGTTTGGTTTTACACAGTGCAGTTTTATATAATTAATGGTTGCTGATTTATGGTTGCTCAGTGACTAGATACACAGGGAAAATGGCCTCCACTGTAGTTTGCACTTTGGATGTGCCAAAGTGAATGTAGGAAAGATGGAAGGCTGGAGGGTGGGGGAGGTGCTTTGACCAATAATCAGCTGGCTGATGAGAAGGCTAAAGGTCATGAAACTAATGTCCAAACTCTCGTGATTGTATTTTCTATTTCTTGGAGCTTTATTAGAAATAATACACAGTTGACCAAAATAGAAGTGTTTCCAGTTTGAGCATTAAAAGCTGTTGTGGTATTTGTTTCTCTGAACATCTTTTTTATTGTAGGATTCAGGATGGAGATCAGCCATTTGCCCAGATTATTGTCCTAATATGTATGAAGAAATGGAAACATTAGCCAATGTGCTCCAGTCAGATATCGGTCAAGACATGCGTGTCCATAACAGCACGTTTCTGTGGTTCATACCTTTTGTCCAGTCTCTCATGGACCTGAAGGACCTGGGTGTGGCCTACATAGTAGAAGTTATTCACCACCTGTACTCTGAAGTCAAGAATGTCCTCAACCACGCAGATGCAGGATGTGACAAAGTCACAGAGTTCTTTCTCCTGATTTTGGTGTCTGTGATTGAACTGCACAGAAATAAGAAATGTTTGCATTTGCTGTGGGTTAGTTCCCAGAAATGGGTGGAAGCTGTTGTGAAATGTGCCAAGCTTCCCACCACAGCCTTCGCACGGATTTCTGAGAAATCACCTGGAAGTTTCTCCAAAGGAACAACAATGATGTCCTCCCTATCGTTGCATTCAGTGCCATCTAACTCTGTGCAGCTTGCTTGTGTGCAGCTCATTAGGAGTCTTCTCAAAGAAGGCTACCAGCTTGGCCATCACGCTCTTTGCAAGCGATTCTGGAATAAGCTTAACTTATTCCTTCGAGGAAATTTGTCTCTAGGTTGGCAGTTGACGGATCAGGAAACCCGTGAGTTACAGACTTGCTTAAAACAAATTATTAAGAACATAAAAGGCAAAGCCTCTCCTTGTAGCACTCCAGTGGACCTGACTCCTGCTTCTAAAAGCCCGCTTGTGTCTTTTAAAGAAGAAAATGAAGAAATAGAGAAACCCAAAAAAGACACGAATGGTATGGAAAATTGTAGCCCAACATTTACTAAAGAACCAATCAAAATGGAGACATATCAAGTGCAAGAGAGTCCATTGAGCAGAGCGGGGAACGTAGAATGGGAGGATGTGAAGCACACTTACCCCAAGGATCTGAATGAGGAAGATGAACTCCCATCTGAGTCGCACTTAGTGCAGAATAGTAAAGGCCTTTTTACCAAAGGAGCTCGAGAGCAAGTGAAACCCAGTAGAGGGAAACAGAAGTCTGCCAGGGAGAAAGTTGTATGCACCTCAACAAGTGGCCCAGAAAGGGATTCTGACAGAGGAGTAATTGTTTCAACATACTTGTTGACTGATTCTAGCACTGATTCTCTAGAAAAAGTGTCTACATCAAACGAGGATTCCGCTTTAACGGATGATCATGGTAAAACCTCGAGACCAAAGAATAAGGTGCATAAAGATGAAATATGTGCAAAGCTGTTCCGTGTCATAAAGCAGCAGCCCAGAAGGAGTACTTCACTCAGTCATGCTGCTGGGGCAGAAGGAAGCAAGAGTGACTGTGATGCCGAGGTAGAGAGCTCTGCGATAGGAGACAGCGTCACGTGTGATCCATCTGCAGACCCTGAAGCCATGCTGGATGTTGAACAAGGAGAACAAAAGCCTGAAGACAATTTATTGCTGACGAAACAATGGAAGAGTGAAGAGTTAGATTTGTACTCTCCTCATGAAAAGAGTTTTCAGATACAGGAAAGACGTGGAAAAGGGGTGGTATCGAGTACAGACATGACCAACATGGCAAAGACTCTGTCTCCCTTTCAACATCCTTCAGCTGTACTTGAGTCAAGAGATAAGGAAGCAAGTAAGAGTGCAGATTGGGTCTCCTCTACTAGGGACGAGCCCTCTGACACTGCTCACAAGCCCACTGTTGGAACAGATTGCCTGGTGGACCGAGACCTCCACAAAGTAGTGGCCCAAGCCAGTGTTATTAAATTTCCATCAAATTCAACTAAAAATAGTTCACCCCAACTAGAAAGAAAAGTAAAAAATGACAAAAGATGTTCCACAACTAACCAGCACAGAGTTGCAGATACCAGCTATGGGCAAGTGATTGTCATTTCAGATTCTGATGACGACGAGGAACTTCTGGAACTTGAGAAACACACCAACCAGGACACAGTAAGCAGCACTAAGGAAGTGCCAGGCCAGTGTGACTCGGATGCAAATGCTAGTGCTGACAAGAAGTTTATAAAGGAGGAAGATGCAAAGTCCATTCTACTTGAGTCCGATTCACAGTTTTTTGAGTTTGAAAGTGCCTCTGAGGTGTTTTCGGTGTGGCAGGATCATAAAGAAGAAGGCAGCAAGGATTCAGTTGAGGAGGTGGGAGGAAGCTCGGGTGGGGCACATGTGTCTGCCGAGGCTGAGAAGGACAGCAAAAAACGGGCAGAGCCACATAGTAGAGATGAGGAACTGTGTGAAATGGAAGTCAAAAAACCTAGGAGAAAACAGTATGAAAAACCTGTGGCCAAAGACCCTCTAAGGCCTTCATCTTCTGCCAGAAAGAAGGAGCAGTCTCATGATGACAGTGACTTGCACGCTGTGGCCTCAGAGACCGCCACACCCAGTCTGGCTGCACTGAAGAGGTCCTCGCCAAAGCTCCGGACTTACTCCAAGCCTATCAGGAAGGTCCCAGCCTCCAAAACGCCTAAGAAGACACATTCTGAATCTAAAAGAGGGCAGAACAAGAGTTCCCATTACCTGAGTTGCAGAACAACTCCTGCCGTTGTGCCACCCAAGAAATTCCGCCAGTGTCCCGAGCCAGCTTCAACCGTTGAGAAACTGGGTCTGAAGAAAGCCCCTCGGAAGGCGTTCGAGCTGTCCCAGCGCTCCTTAGACTACTTGGTGCAGTTACGGGATCATGGCAAAAGTGTCGGGGTTGTGGAGACCCGAAAAAAGGCCAAGTTAGTTTCTCCGCAGACTCTTCCTGTCAAAAACAACAAGAAACTGCTGCCCGACCAGGATGATGTTCAGCTACAAAGGCAGGCGAAGCCTAAGAATAGAAAAGACGTTTTGGTGAGTGAAAGTACCCGGGCTAAGAGAACAAGGTCCCCCGTAGCTGCGAGTGTAGATGTTGTGAGGCCGGAGTCTGGCAGAACAGATGAGTCCGGGAAAGGCACAGAGGTGCTTGCCAACAGCGGTGAAAAACAGCTCCTCCACCTCTCATCCTCCAAAGCAGAAACACCGCCAGCAAAACGCGCTTCAAAGGAGCCCAGTGATGATTGTCTTCTGAACTACTGTGATTCTAGAGTACAGAATGGAAGGATGCCGGACAGTGACATACCTGCCTCGACTTCAGAGAGCCCTGGAGGTGGTGATTCGACAGGACGTAGTGGGCAGGTGGCAGTTGTGAACCAGTCTGAGCTGGATTCCGGCAGCGACATGGATGACGACAATTTATATTTAACACAAAATGACCCTGAAGACATGGACTTATGTTCACAGATGGACACTGATTACGCTCACCTGATTGAAGTGATTCCCGGAGAAGATGCACTTCCGACAGAAGATGCTGTGCATCCACCTCATGTGGAGTCTTCGAGTGACACTAAGTGCAAGTACAAAGACTGTGTTGAAACCATAAAAGCCCAGAGTGAGTATTGCGCACAGCACTCTGAAGCTAAAACAGCAGACGACAATGTCTTCCGCAAACCTGGCCTGCCTCTTTCTGCAGTCAGGCCTTTGAGACCTACCACCACTAAGGTTTTCAGCTCAAGTGGTAGCTCACGAATTGCCAACCTCTCCAGGTCTCTGGACAACACTACAATCCCATCAACTCTAAGAAATAAGCCAACACAGTCAATTCTGAAAATGCCCCAGTCCTCTGCAGTATTGCAGAAGCCGGTGGCTGAAGTGAAGAGCTTACGCAGTGCTCTCAACCCGCAGAGCCCCAGCAGCGCCCTCAGGTCAGCCTACAGACCTCAGTCAGCAGCCTCCTCGCCTGCAAACGCGCTCTCTTCGTCACAGTCTATCTCTGACACCTTCATTAAAGAGGTCTTAAAGTGGAAATACGAGATGTTTTTGAACTTTGGTCAGTGCGGGGCACCGTCGAGTCTTTGTCAATGCATCTCAAGATCTGTGCCTGTCAGATTTCAAGATTGTACAGAGTATTTTGATGTTTTTCTCCCCTTGATGATATTGAATACTTTTGAAACAGTAAGTGGCATTCCGCTCTTGGCCTCTGCAGACCTTTTCAAGTTGTTCGTTCTTTATTGCTGAGTGATTATTAGAGTACAGTTCAAGTGCTTTGTTTGGCTTAGTTGTTGAAGTTGGATTTTATATTGAGCAGACAGTAGTGCCAGGCCCAGTTGTGGATGGCAGTGGTATAGTTACAGATGGAGGGGGCTGATGGGCCAAGTTGATAGGTGGCACTGGAGGAGGTGTGTGCCAGTGCCAGGGAAGGGCCGAGGTCTCAGAGGAGATATCTCATCTGCACTCTGTTTACATTGTTTTGAAAAGATGTAGAGAGGCACTGTAGTTTTCTTTATAAGTAGCCAGGAATAAATTACATTGAACAACAGGGCAATCCTAAATTTCTCTTGACATGTTTGTCTTCTTAACTTTCTGTTATAAGAGTTCTCTTTCTAATTTCCTCTATATAGGTTTTTCTTTTTTTTTTGTCGGCCGTGGGGCTTGAACTCTGGGCCTGGGCGCTGTCCCTCAGCTCTTCAGCTCAAGGCGAGCACTCTACCACTTGAGCTACAGCGCCACTCTCTTTCTAATTTCCTATACCTACCTCTTCCCCCTTTCTATCTCTTCTCTTTGCTTTTTGATAGGGTGGCCAAATATAAAACTTGTAGTTCCAGTTATTGGTTCCCAGTTCAGATGGCGTCTCAGTGCTGGGCACAGTAGCATGCTACTGGAGTCTTCCCACCCCTTAGGAGGCTGAGGCAGTGAAATCAGTTGAGTTTCAGGCCACTGTTTAGGGAGATACTATCTCAAAACCGAAACTACCCAACTTAGAGAAACAGCAAATAATTCTTGAGCAGAAGCATTCAGCTGTGTTTCAAAGGATGTTTTTGACGTTTTCATGGTGGATAAAGGTGTATATTAGGGACAAATTCTGTGGGTTTTTTTTTTTTTATTTGTTAAAATAAAATAGGACTGGGTGCTGGGAAGGTGGCTCAGTGGTTGAGCGCTTGCCTTGCATGCATGAGGCCCTGGGTTTGATTCCTCAGCACCACTTAAGCAAAAAGAAAAAAGCCGGAAGTGGTATTGTGGTTGAGCGCTAGCCTTGCTAGCCTTCAGCTGAAGAGCTGAGGGACAGCGCCCAGGCCCAGAGTTCAGGCCCTATGACCGGACCCAAAAAAATAATAATAATTAATTAAAATAGGACTGGGGCTGGGAAGGTGGTTCAGTGGTAGAGAGCTTGCCTCGCATGCATGAGCTCTGGGTTCGATTCTTCAGGCACCACATAAGCAGGAAAATCCAGAAGTGGTGCTGTGGCTCAAGTGGTAGAGAGCTTGCCTTGAGCTGAAGAGCGGAGGAACAGTGCCCAGGCCCAGAGTTCAGGCCCCACCACCGATGACAAAAAAAATAGGACTAGGAATGTTGAGGTGATTTTTTTTTTTTTGTGGTCCTCTGGTGTGTGTTCACCAGTGAACTGTGAAAACAGTGTGCTCCTGATAGAAGTCAGGCACAGGAGGTCACCTGGGAAAGAGTCCATCCACAATAGGCAGTTCACGGAGACTGAAAGCTGATGCGTAGTTGTCAGGAATGTCTGGAGTGGAATCGAGTCAGACTAGTGGTAGGGTTTCCTTAGAGGTGACAGACATGTTCAGGAACTACATAGTGATGATGGGTGAACTAGAACTCGCTGTAGTATGTACTTCAAAATAGTGGTTTGTGAAAGGAGATGAATAACAGAGAGGCTCAGGATGGCAGATAAAACCTCGTATGTTTTTTTTTTTGGGGGGTCCGGTCGTGGGGCCTGAACTCTGGGCCTGGGCACTGTCCCTAAGCTCTTCAGCTCAAGGCTAACGCTCTACCACTTGAGCCACAGCACCACTTCCGGCTTTTTTCTTTTTGCTTATGTGGTGCTGAGGAATCGAACCCAGGGCCTCTGGCATGCAAGGCAAGCGCTCTACCACTGAGCCAACTTCCCAGCCCCAACCTCGTATGTTTTTATGTTTTTAAGGAATAATTCTCCCCATGGTTATACAGTAAAGGCCAAATGTGCTTAGATATCCGCTGTTCGGGAGATAACTTCAGAGATCTGGTGGATTGTGTTTTGAGGCCAGCTTGGGCAAAATAATCAGCTGTGTACCTGTGTGTACCTGTCATCACAGTCTGAGGCCAGCCTAGAGTTAAACTTTACCTGAAAAATAACTAAAGTAGGAAAGAGCTGGGGGTCATGACTCACGGGTGAAGCCCTCAGGTCAAACCTGCCCTTTGGGAAAGATGTGGTCCAAACAGTGGCAATAGTATGGTCTAACCCAGTTCTTAATTATTATTTTTTGCACCAGTCCTGGCACTCGAATTCAAGACCTGGGCACTGTCCCTGAGCTTTTTTACTCAGGGCTAGCACTTGGCCACTTGAATCATAACTCCACTTGGAGCTTTGCTTTTTAATTTTTTTAATTTTTTGGAAATTAGTTGTAGGTAACAGTCTTGTGAATTTTTCTGCCTGGGCTGGCTTTGAACCAAGATCCTCAGATCTGGCTTTCTGAGTAGGATTACAGTGTAAGCCACTGGTGACCAGCTTTCTTGTTTCACTCTTTAAGATTTTGTTTTTAGGTGTAAATTGTAATCTGTATTTGGTTATAGGTAGTATTAAAACAGACATGCCGGTGGCTCATGCCTGTAATCCTAGCTACTCAGGAGGTTAAGATCTGAGGATCACAGTTCAAATCCACCCTGAGGGACAGCACTCAAGCCCAGAGTTCAAGCTCCAAGACTGACAGAAAAAAAAAAGACACCAGAAGCTCTGTGGAAGGGGAGGCTTGTTGACCCCTGTGCTCCACCGGGAAGCCCCTCATCCCCACTCTTTAAGTTAATGTTATCATAGAGCACTGAATGCCAAGGGAATGCACCTGAACCAAGTATACACATAAACGGTTACATTGAGACTTTATTAGACACGTTCCTGTAGTAATGCTGTCTGCCACAGATACACATATAAAGAGTCAAAAAAATTTGAAACAATGCAGACAGACATAAGCAGAAAAGGTTGGATCAAAACATGGACAAATGTTTTCCCTTTTTATTGAGGTACATCATCAGTGTTAATTCTGTTGAAGTGTTACTGGACTTAGATGATTTTTTTCAAAGCTAGATCTTCAGTTGCATAACTGTTATCACAGTCCAATTTTAGGACCTTTCCATAGCCCTCACAGACTCTTGAGCCATTTCCTAGTTCCAGATACACGTTAGGCTGCTTTCTGTACATTTCCTCTTTCTGGACCATCACGTATCTGGAATTTTCCACCACCCTTTAACTGTAGTTTCTTTGTAATGTATATCAATATTTTCTCACTTTTTTTGGGGGGGGGGTCTGGTCATGGGGCCTGAACTCTGGGCCTGGGTGCTGTCCCTCAGCTCTTCAGCTCAAGGCTAGCGCTCTACCACTTGAGCCACAGCGCCACTTCCGGCTTTTTTCTTTTTGCTTATGTGGTGCTGAGGAATCGAACCCAGGGCCTCTGGCATGCAAGACATGCGCTCTACCACTGAGCCACCTTCCCAGCCCCTATTTTCTCACTTTTTATTGTCAAATGAGATTCCAGTATCTGGTGTTTCCCATTTGTTTATCCACTTACTGTTGATGATTAGGTCATTGCAAAAAATTGGACATGACCATTCTAGACAACTTCATTAGACTTCCACGGATTAATTGATTGATCCTTATTGGTTGTCCCTTGGAATTCTGGGTTCTGGATTTACTGTTGTTCTGAAAAATTTTACTCTAAATTTAGCATAGCTTTCCAGAATGTACTGCTTGCTTCATTTGCTCTTTTGCTTTATACAGATGGCACAGGAATGGATCAACTCTCCCAATAAAGATAATTGCTATCAGGTACAGCTAAAAAAGTTTGCAGCTGATTATAAAAAAAGCTGGGAGTTTGTGGGTAAGTTCTTTCTTATGTAGCCTGGAATGTGCATGATGATAATTGGAGATTTCTGTTGAAAAGGAGATTCCATCATTTGAATTTTCTCAGGTGTAGGTTTCCTAAGCTAAATTCTTAGAATAAATAAATGTGTTTATGTACAAAAGTTGAATTATATGTCTGTAGTGTCCCCTGCATGAGAATGCAAGTTATGAAATTTCACTTTTTTTTTTTTGGTTGGTTGTGGGGCTTGAACTCGGGGCCTGGGTGCTCTCAGTCAGCTCTTCAGCTCAAAGGTGAGCATTCTACCACTTGCGCCACAGCACCACTTCCAGTTTTCTGGTAGTTTATTGGAGATAAGAGTATTACGGGAATTTTCCTGTTGGGGCTGGCTTTGAATCACGGTCCTCAGATCTCAGCCTCCTGAGTAGCTGGGATTACAAGCATGAGCCACCTGTACCAGGCAAAATTTCACTTTTAATCACCATGTTAACACTGATCTCCGTAGCCTTGGGGAGGGTATTCCTATAGTTTTCTGTAATAGAAGTTTCCTTGCAACTCTTATTTTTCTTCTGGTTGCTTATAAAAACAAAAATGTGTTGAAAGTTTCTCCACTTATTTATATTGCCTTTAGTTTTCCTTGGAAGTTTTGTTATTCAGAGTTTAGTTTTTTCACATATTGCGATGATTATGTTTTTGCTTTGTTTTAATTTTTTAAGAGTTTCAGTCTGTCTCATCCCAGCACTTAGTGCTTTAGGTCATTGTTACTGCTAAACCAGCAATTGATACTGGACTTTTTTTTTTTTTTTCCTTTGTTGATTGTGGGGTTTGAACTCTGGACCTGGCACTATCCCTGAGCTCTTCAGCTCAAGGAGAGCACTCTACCACTTGAGCCACAGCGTCACTTCCAGGTTTCTGGGGTTAACTGGAGATCTCACAGACTATCCTACCCTGGCTGGATCCTCAGATCTCAGTCTCCTGAGTAGCTAGGAGCATCCAGCTGATACTGGACTTTTTTATTCTTGATCTTGCTTTATTTTTCCATTCCTCTTAGTTTACAATTACCCTGTCTCCTTTGTTTAAAATGTTATTAATAGATTTTAAATTCTTGTATGTACTTAGATGTTTCTGAATTTTCTCCTTGCATTTTTAAGTGAGGAACAAATGAGAGAATCTCATGATTAAAAGCCAAGAATAAGGTCACGCATGGCGGTACATGCCTGTAATCCCAGCAACATTCAAGAGGCCAATTCAGAAGTATTATGATAGTATGGGCTCACAGTAAGTTCCAGGCTAGCTTTTTTTTGGGGGGGGGGTTCGGTCTTGGGGCCTGAACTCGGCCTGGGTGCTGTCCTTCAGCTCTTCAGCTCAAGGCTAGCGCTTACCACTTGAGCCATAGCGCCACTTCCGTTTTTTTTCTTTTTGCTTATGTGGTACTGAGGAATCGAACCCAGGGCCTTATGCATACAAGGCAAGCACTCTACCACTGAGCCACCTTCCCAGCCCTAGGCTAGCTTGAGTTACATAGCAAGACCTTATTTTGATAAAATAAAACCAGAATATGCCTTTAAAAAATGAACAATTTCTCAATATTATTCTATTTTGGTTTTGTAGTAGTTGTGTGTATGTATATGTGTTATATTTATTACATGTATGTGTGTATGTAGGTATGTATGTAGGTATATGTATCTGTGTGCTGGTAGGGCTTGAACCCAGGGCCCTCACACTGCAGCTTAGTTTTTTTGCTCAGATTGGCATTACGCCACTGAACTACATCTCTGCTGTCAGCTTTTTTGCTGGTTAATTAGAGGTAACAGTGTAGATTTGTCTGCCTGGGCTTGGCTTTGACCCTCAATCCTCAGGTTTCCTGAGTAGCTAGGATTACAGGTGTGATCCACCAGTGCTTAATCTTCTGTAATAGTTTTCTTTTTTGTTGTTGTTGTTGTTTTTTGGTTGGTCATGAGGCTTGAACTCTGGGTCTGGGCTCCCTCAGCTCTTCAGCTCATGGCTAGCACTCTACCACTTGAGAAATAGTGCCACTTACTCAATTCCTTTTTTTTTTTTGGGGGGGGGGTCCGGTCCTGGGGCCTGAACTCTGGGCCTGGGTGCTGTCCCTCAACTCTTGAGCTCAAGGCTAGTGCTCTACCACTTGAGCCATAGCGCCACTTCTGGCTTTTTTCTTTTTGCTTACGTGGTGCTGAGGAATCGAACCCAGGGCCTCATGCATGCAAGGCAAGCACGCGCTACCACTGAGCCACCTTCGCAGCCCTTCCTCAATTTCTTTTAAATCTTATTTAAAATCTGTTATGTAAATGCTGACATTTTATTTTTTATATAGTTTATCTGGATGAAAGTGAATTGGCTAAACAGCTTCATCCCAAGGAAAATGATTTGGTGTTTTTGCGTTGTGGGAGACTAAGTGGAGAGAAGAAAGACACGGAGAGAGGCAGCGTGGCAGATCACCATATGTATTACTGTGGCTATGTCCATAAGTTCCGTCGCACTGCACTCAGTAAGTAATAAGTTGACAGGTTATCTGCTCCTCACTGTGGGTAGATTTGGGCTTTAGATGCCCTGGATGTGCCACATGTTTTCCAGACAGGTATTTACTATGTTGATTTCTGGCTAAATTCTGTTTTCTGAGTCTCTACAACTCCTTCATTTTTTACAGGGGAAGTAACAGGAAATGTTTATCTTTTTCTCCCTACTTTTATCCTTTTCATACTAATATAAGTGCTTGCCAAACATTAAAAGAGTCCTTTCTCTACTTTTCCTAGGCTAAACTTCTGTGTATTTTCAAATGTTTTAAAATGCCCTCTTCTGGTGCATTTTTTCATCTGTCCTTTTGCTGGTTATGATCTAGACCATTTTTAAACCATAGAACTTGGGGGAAATCTCATTTCCCTAGCTGCCAACCATTGCTTTATCAGGATTTCTCCTCAAAATGATGTTAGCTTGAATTTTATAAGCACCTCTGTCTGCTGTGTGAGGAACCTTATAATCTTCAAAACTCTAATTCATCCAAAACAAGGGCTGGGGAATGTGAAGTGGTCTTTCCAAGATTGTTGTCACTGTTAAGTGATCAGTCCAGAACTGGTTTCAAAAAGACCTGTTTATTTATCTTTTTTTTGGGGGGGGGGTCTTGAGCCCTTGCTTGGCTTTCTTACTCCTAGTTGGTGCTTTAGCATTTGAGCCACACCTCTGGTATGGCATTTTGCTGGTTAACTGGAGATAAAAGTCTTGAAGACTTATTTGTTGGTTGTGGGGCTTGAACTCAGGGCCTGAGTGCTAGCTAGCTCAAGGCTAGCACTCTACCACTTTGGGCCATAGACCCACTTTCAGGTTTGAGGAGTTCATTGGAGTGGTTAATTTTTTGCCAGGGCTGGCTTGGAACTTTGATCCTTAGATCTCAGTCTCCTGAGTAGCTAGGATTATAGACATGAGCCACCAGTGCCCAGCTTAAGACTTTCTTGCATGGCTTTGAACTCTTATCTTCCAGGTCTCAACCTCCTAAACAACTAGAATTATAGGCATGAGCCACCAGTGCCCACTAGGTAAAGTTCACATTTTTATTTTTTGTCAGTTGTGGGGCTTGAACTCTGGGCTTGGGCACTGTCCCTGCGCTCTTCAGCTCAAGACAAGCATTCTACCACTTGAGCTACCGTGCCACTTTCAGTTTTCTAGTGGTTTAATGGAGATAAGAGTCTCACGGACTTTCCTGCCTGGGCTGGCTTTGAACTGCGATCATCAGATCTCAGCCTCATGAGTAGCTAGGATTACAGGCGTGAGCTACTGGTGCCCGGCTAAGTTCACATTTTTATTTTATGTCTTTGTGAGTCTGTCCCTTCTCCTTTTTGCATCACATCTTAAATAGCAAGAAGCATCTTAAGAATGCAACATTATGTTGCTCTTCCTTACAGCACGCTACCCCAAATAAAGTCATCCCCTTTACTTACTGCATCCCCCCTCCCCTTTTTTTTTTTGTCGGTCAGGAGGCCTGAACCCTGGGCCTGGGCGCTGTCCCTCAGCTCTTCAGCTCAAGGCTAGTGCTCTACCACTTGAGCTACAGCTCCACTTCCATCCTGTTTCTAAGCTCTTACTCAAATTGCTGCAGTGGCCTCATAAGTGATTCTTTACTTTTCCCATGAACTGGGATTTGAACTGGATATTGTGTTTGTGCTTGCCTAGGTAGCCACTCTGCTGCTTGAGCATGCACTTAGCCTAAAAGTAATTGGTTTCAATGTGCACGATAGAGCATATTAGAGCATATTGCTTCCCTGTTGCTTTATATCTGAATGGATGGATTTGGAGTCATTACTGTGGTCTACAATGTCCTCGGTGTTTTACACTAGATCTCCTAGCACATGTCCCCTGGCTTTTCCTTCTAGCTCTAGTAGCCTTCTCCCTACTTCTAAAATGCTTTAACGCATGTCTGTGTGATGGTTTTTGTAGCTTATGACTGCCTGTAGCAGTCTTTGTTCCCTAGTAAAGACCTTGCTTTCTTCCTTACTTCAGTCTCTGCTTAGTACAGCTCATCAGGAAGACCTCCTGGACCAGCAGGCTGTCTGCATCCCCATTGCTTCTCGTCTCCTTCTCTGCTTGCTGCTATTTCTTAGTACTTGGCATGCCTGACTTGTTTAGTTAGTATATGACTCCCTCTTCTAGAAACTTGTCTCTTCAGACCAGAAACACTGCCTGGTTCTTAGGAAGCATTCAGTAAACATTTATCGAGTGAGCTATTTAAATCATAGAAACATGAAAGTTATGAAGTACTTACGAATATACTTTTTAACTGGATAACATTCTTCACATGTAACTGAAATTGCCTTTTCTTCTTCCTGTCAATAGTGCGCAGTAGGAAATCGGAGTGTTCCCTTTCCATCCAGATTCAAGATCACTTGCCAGCCAGTTTAAACGAACTTATGAAATGTGTTGTAATCAGTTCCCTGGTAACAACACAGAGGAAATTGAAAGCCATGTCTCTGTTGAGTGGTCGGAACCAACTGGCCAGAGCCATTCTGAATCCAAATCCCATGGACTTCTGTACCAAAGATCTACCAGCTATGTCCTCTGAGAGAATTGTGAGTGCTGATTGGATGGTGCCAGGGAGAGTCAGAACATGTGTTGTCAGGAGGGGAGTGTCCCATTTGAAGCTGCTCCATGCTCCTCTATGTGTACAAGAAGACACGTCCATGTGCAGTGGTGTTTGGTGTCAGCCCTCCTCCTTCGGGGAGGGGAAGGTAGGGTAAAAGCACCATGCACTGCAGGCTCCAGCATTCAGGAGCAGAGTCTCAGATTTAGTGCGGTGAGTTTTGTGTTTGAATCCTTGATGGATTTCAACTGGTCGTGGTACAATTGCAAAGGTGAAGTTGTCATCTTGTGTGAACGTGTTTTTCACATGTAAACTGCTGAAAACAGAAATGACAGGGGTAACTGGTATTTTTGAGCCCCATCATGCGCTAGGGCTTTTGTATGCATTATCTCTTGTCAGTTCTCATCGTCAAGGAGTGGCAGAGGTTGAGGCTCAGAGAGGTTAGGAGTTTAGTATGAAAGTAAATTGAAGTTAAAAGAAAAAAACTAAAGGGTAGACCCAGATCTGACCTGGAAAACTTATGTTTTCCACTCATGATTATTATGAGGCAATGCTCTTAGAATATTTTTACTATCTAAAGAAAGAGATAATTGATACAATGAGAAAGAATGATAGAAGAGTATAGATTAGTAAATGAAATTTATGATCATATTTTTATTTTTCTGCAAATACTGGGGCTTGAAATCAAGCTGTCACTCAGCTTTTTCACTCAAGGCTGGCACTCTACCACTTGAGCCACAGCTCAACTTGCCCCTTTTTGCCAGAGATAAGAATTTCATGGACTTCCCTGCTCAAGCTGGCTTTGACTCTTGATTGGATTGCAGCCTCCTGAGTAGGTAGGATTACAAGGCATGAACCACTGGTGCCAGGCTTGTGCTTGTCCTTATAAGAATCACAAACAAAAATGTAGTTATAGTTGTGAACTGAAGCCTACTGACACTAGTTAGCAATTTGTAACTACCATTCTTTGTGGTAGTGAAACTCTCCCTTAGATTAGTCACTTCTAGTCACTTCAGGATTGTGTCTGGCCATCACCAAATTGTTTTTGCAATCTTCAAATTGAATGTTTACCTTTCTCATATGATACCATGGGTAGGGGTGGGGGAACAAACCTCTCACAATGTCTTTTTGTATATAGATTAACTACTTAAAAGATTTCAATGAAGATCAAAAGAAAGCAATAGAAACTGCATATGCCATGGTGAAACACTCACCATCAGTTGCCAAAATCTGTCTGATTCATGGGCCACCTGGAACAGGAAAATCAAAAACTATTGTTGGTCTGCTGTACCGCTTACTCACAGAGGTAGGTGTGGAGACGGCCACAGCTGCACTGTCCCACTGAGGCACTGCTTTAGCTCCTCGAGTTCACTGACATACAAATAGTATTAAAGTTTTCCTTTTCTTTTCCTTTTCTTTTTGCCAGTCCTGGGGCTTGAACGCAGGGCCTGGGTTCCCCAAGCCTCTCTGTGCTCAAGGCTAAAGCTCTACCACTTGAGCCACAGTGCCACTTGTGGCTTTTTCTGTTTATGTGGTACTAAGGAATTGAACCCAGGGCTTCATTGATGCTAGGCAAGCACTCTACCACTAAGCCACATTCCCAACAAGTCTTTTCTTTTCTGCATGTACTTTGTATGTTATGTAGAAGCATATCAGCAAAAGAGGTGGCAGAGAGAGGGACAGGTCATAAGAAGTGAAAAGAGGGCTAGGAAGGTGGCTCAGTGGTAGAGCGCTTGCCTTGCATGCCTGAGGCCCTGAGTTCGATTCCTCAGTACCACATAAGCAAAAAGAAAAAAGCTGGAAGTGGCGCAGTGGCTCAAGTGATAGAGTGCTAGCCTTGAGCTGAAGAGCTGAGGGACAGCGCCCAGGCCCAGAGTTCAGGCCCCACGACTGGACCCAAAAAATAAATAAATAAAAAAGAAGTGAAAAGAGCAGAAAGCACTGTCTCACAGGAAAAAAAAAAAAATCCTCAGGACTATAGGGTAGTTTTTCAGGCTGCTTTTGTAGGTCAAGGTCTAATGCCAGAAAACCACCAGAGATGTATGCTTGGACTAAATGTTGGTTGGACTGAACATTGATTGAAGTAACTGGATACTAAAGAAAGACTCAGAGCATTTATAATAAAACTTCATGCTTGGCCTGATGGCTCATGCCTATAATCCTAGCTACTCAGGATGCTGAGATCTGAGGATCATAGTTCAAAGGCAGCACATGCAGGAAAGTGCCGGAGCCTGCCAGCAATGAAAGGGAATCCTGAATTAGGGGCTGAGGACAGGAAAAATAAAGACATAAGACAAAGGATGGGGCCAGGAGGTCTGCAGCTCAAGACTGCAGCCCCGTTTATTTTTAACTCTCCTTATTTATACTATTAGAAGTCAAAAGGTAACATAAGGTTACAATAGTCCAGAAAAACAAGGAAAATTTTAGTAAAAACAGAGTGCAGTAAAAACAAGACAAGGTCAACTGGTAGATAGTAAAACAAACTCTGCAGACATAGCAAAGCAATCCCGGGCACCTGGTGTTTTTTAAGTAAGCGAGTTACTTGTACTTACCTTCAAGTGAGCACTGGGGTCAAGATGACCTTTAAACTTTACTGTTGGCTCCCAACAGGAAAGTCCCTGAGACTCTTATATATCTAATTAACCACTGGAAAACTGGAAATGGCACTGTGGCTCAAAGTGGCAGAATACTAGCCTTGAGCAAAATAGCTCAGGGACAGTGCCCAGGCCCTGAGTTCAAGCCCTGCCACCTAACAGACAAAAAATACATAAATAAAGAGATGACAATAAGCATATACAGAATCTAATGCTGCAGGGAGTGTGGGTGGTAAAAGGTCTCCACACAGGAAACGGACATAAAAGATTAAATCCAGCAGTGTGTGCTAAGCAAGTGCTCGTTAGTGAGCTTCCTACTTCCATGTAGAAGTAATTTTAAAGTCAGAATAAGATTCTTACATTTATTGGTTATCACAGGAGCCTTTACATGGTAATGATAGTAGAGAAAAGCCTTAAAACTGTGTAATAATAGATAATAGAGTTCATCGTTACTTTGTGTTTGGTATGTGGCAAATTGCAGAACCCGAGGAAGGGGCATTCTGATGAAAACTCCAATGCGAAAAACAAACAAAACCGTGTCCTTGTGTGTGCGCCTTCGAATGCAGCCGTTGATGAACTTATGAAAAAAATCATCCTCGAATTCAAAGAAAAATGCAAAGATAAGAAAAATCCTTTGGGTATGATACTAAGTGTGGGTTTCTAATTTGTTTTTGTTCTTGGTGTTTTTGTGACACCTCTAAGTAAAGAGCAAGCCAGTCCTGGGAAAACTTCCACCCAGGGCTGGAGCTTATATTTGCTTGGTTCACTTGTTGGTACATACCCCCTGTGCCAGGCACTGAGGTTTCAACAGTGCATCCTGACATGCACGTGACACATGGTCTGATGAGGGAGTGGGCAGGTCAGCAGCTGGATAATAGAGCGAAAGGCCCATGGCTAAAGCCGGCGCTTTTAGATACCTCAAAAGAACCCTTGATTTATTTGTGTGAGGTATCTTCGATAAAATCCTGAGTGCAGTTAGGAGTTCACTATAAAAGGGAGGAGGGCACTTTGGGCACACATGTCTGCCACTTAAAAGGGATCAGACAAGAGAAGTGCAGGGAGCCAGTGATAGAATGCAACACTGTTCCTGTAGGCCACAGTGCCGGTCTGTCCGGGCCCCGGGCTGCCCAGTGAGGGAAAGGTGGGTCTAACTGTGAACATGGGCTTATTAGCAAAAGCAGTGAGACTGTTTTCACTGGAGTTACTTACTATAGTAGCTTACTATGCTGCAACCCCAGTCCTGTGAGCTAGGAATTAAATAACCCTGCCCTAGATGGAGCAGAGAGATTATGTTGTGTCATGGTCACAACTCTTGGTTGATTCGCGTAACAGTGATGAGTACTCCCACATGTGATGAAGAAGTGAAAGTACTTAGCCTTAACTTTTTTTACACCCCTCACTTTGAGTTGTCTTCTTCAGCTTTGTATTTTCCTGCTTTCCCAAGTGCATGTCTTGTCTTCCAGGCTGAATTAACTACCAAAACAGCCAAAGTGGAGCTGTGGCTCAAGTGGTAGATGCTGTCCTGGAGCAGAAAAGCTGTGTAAGGGAAAGAGCTCAGATCCTGAGTTTAAGCCCTAGGACCAGTGCAGAAAAACACAAAAAACATTAGTATAAAAATATAAAGGAAAGTAAGCCTGCAGCGTACTCTTGGTGATCCTGCTAGTTTGTGCCAGGTAGAGAGGATTGTTAAGAAGAATAGCAAAATGCTGTCTAGGAAGTATTCAGTGTGGATTCTGGACTCTAGTTGACCATTTGTGTTATATTCCTTCTCAATTGTCTGCATTGTTTTTCTTCACAATAGACACAATGTACGGAGACAGATAGGATTTATTGGCACATCCTTATTTGTCTTTTTGTGATTTTTATCAAAAGGAAACTGTGGAGATATAAATTTAGTACGACTGGGTCCAGAAAAGTCTATTAATAATGAGGTCCTAAGATTCAGCTTGGACAGCCAAGTTAACCACAGAATGAGTAAGTACTAATGATGCTACATTATAGTGCTTTTTCCATTTCCTTCCGTCAGTAAAATGTAACCCTGAGCACTAACAGTAATTTGGGGACTTAGAAGTAGTCTAGCTTCAGAAATGACTTGTTGTTCTTATTGTACCTTTTAATTTTATTAGAGAAAGACTTACCTTCTCATGTTCAAGAGATGCATAGAAAGAAGGAGTTTCTCGATCATCAGCTGGATGAGCTTTCCCGCCAGCGGGCGTTATGCCGAGGTGGAAGGGAGATGCAGGTATCTAAACATTTCAGTAATAACCCATAGCTTCACAAACTAGTGGGTGAGTATTTGATGTCATTGTTTTATTGAGGAATGGCATGATTCCGAGAGAAAAATGTATAATGCTGGGCTCAGATCTATAATCCTAGCTATTTGGGAGGTAGAGCTGAGAGCTGAAGTTTGAGGCCAGACAGGGAAGAAAGTGACAAAACTCCCTTTTTAAACCAGTAGCTGGACATGGTGATTTATACCTAAATTCTAGCTGCTCAGGGGGCTGAGATCTGTAGGACCCATGTTCAAAGCCAGCCCCAGGCAGTAACCTCCTCAAGACTCTATCTCCAAAACAACCAGAAAAAAAAAACAGACTAGAGATGTGGCTTATGTGGGACAGTGTAAGCCAAGCAAGCCCAAGGCCCTAACTTACATCTCTGGCACTGGAAGGCAAGCAAGTAGTCAGTAAGTATATATAAACAGACGGTGTATAAGAGGTAAGCTAAAGGCATGACTTGGGTAGTAAGGTGTCTGCCTGGGAAGTGCATGCCCCTCCGTGAATTTAATCTCTAGTACCTGACAAAATATAAAAATAAGAATGTGGGGCTGAGAATGTGGCATAGTGGTAGAGTACTTGTCTAGCCCTGGGTTCGATTCCTCACTACCACATAAACAGGAAAGAGCCTGAAATGGCACTGTGGCTCAAGTGGTAGAGCAAAAGCAGCTGAAGGGCCAGTGCTCAGGCCCTGAGTTCAAGCCCCAGGACTGGCTGGAAAAAAAAAATGTGTAATGGAATAGTTTGCCTGCATCAGGAGTTAGCTTTGTTTTTGGTTGGCCATGGGGCTTGAACTCTGGGCCTGGGCACTTATCTCTGAGCTCTTCAGCTCAAGGCTAGCTCTCTACCACTTGAGCCACAGCGCCACTTCCGGGTTTTTCTGTTTATGTGGTGCTGAGTAATCGAACCTAGGGCCTCATGCATGCAAGGCAAGCACTCTACCACTGAGCCACCTTCCCAGCCCAGGAGTTAGCTATTTTTTATGAAAAAGAAAGGGGCTGGGAAGGTGGCTCAGTGGTAGAGTGCTTGCCTTGCATTCATGGGGCTTTGGGTTCGATTCCTCAGTACCACATAAGCAGAAAAGGTCGAAGGTGGCACTATGGTTGAAGTGGTAGAGCACTAGCCTTGAGCTGAAGAGCTGAGGGACAGTGTCCAGGCCCAGAGTTCAGGCCCCATGACCGACAAAAAAAAAAAAAAAAGAAAGAAAGAAAGAAAAAGGAAATAGACACTGTTGGTTTTGTAGTCTCTTAGTGTAGCTATTATGGTAGCTCTGAAGCTGCCACAGGTAGTGTGTGTGAGTGAATGTCCAATTTGACTCACTGGCCAAGTTATGTTTTATTAAAGAGCCACCAAATTTGTTAGGTATCTTTTAGTGGTGAGTTAAACCAAGTTCGTGTTAGTTTAAACACAAAGGAAATTTATTGGCTTTTACACCAGGGAAAGCCACATGTGAATTAGCTCCAATGTGGAGAGATCCAGAGACTAAAATGATACTTTTCTACCTTGTGATTTGTTTTTGTTTGTGTGTCAGTCATTCTTTCCTTCTCTAAGAGAGTGCCTAGCTCGGGTGTACTCCGTCATCCTAGCTTGAGAACTCAGAGAAGGAGGTCTTCCACCCCATGCATCAGTTCCAAGGAAGCACTCTGAGAGGGCCAAGCAGGTGTTGGCCCTGCAGTTTCCCAGGCCTATATCACATGCTGGGCACTGGCTAGAGGATGGCTGGGTTGTAACTGGCAGCCTCTTTGACCACCTAGGAGGAGGGGTGATGCCCCAGGCTGGAGAACTTAGCAAGCTGACGGGTGACACTCTGCAGTATCTGGGCCTGACTGACTCTTACCCACATGGTACTGATAAAGGGAAAGTAAGCTGGGCTAGTGAGTTTTGGTTGATTACCTATTTTAGACTCACTCATGAAATGTAAAGTAGTCTGTTGGAAACCATTCTAACTTAGTTTTAATGATGGCATTCTCATTTCTTCCAGAGGAAAGAGTTAGATGAAAAAATTACTAGAGTTTCAAAAGAAAGGCAAGAACTTGCTTCAAAAATTAAAGAGGTAAGTAGTTTACATACAGCATTTTATTTTCTTGATTGATGAAATAGTTCAGATAACATAAATGTACTTTCTAAATTACATCTTGAAAGTGTTATAAAAAATTACAAGCACAGAAGTAGTGTTATTACATTTATATATTTTTTTCTTTAAAGAAGAATTCCTCTCACCATCTAAGCTTAGTTTTGTGGTACTAGGGTTTTGTGGTATGAGGGCTCAGTAGGCAGGCTAGCATCTAAAAGATTTCTTTTAGGAGGTGATTTTCCTCTTGGGTCTGCGTAACTATGAAAAATCCTTCTTTGGGGCTGGGAAGGTAGCTCAGTGGTAGAGCGCTTGCCTTGCATGCCTGAGGCCCTGGGTTCGATTCCTCAGCACTACATAACCAAAAAGAAAAAAGCCGGAAGTGGTGCTATGGCTCAAGTGGTAGAGCGCTAGCCTTGAGCTCAAGAACCGAGGGACAGCACCGAGGCCCAGAGTTCAGGCCCCACGACCGGACCCAAAAAAAAAAAAAAGAAAAATCCTTCTTCGCTTCTTTTTCTTTCCTGCTGCAAAATAGTGACAATTACAATCAGATAAATGATCCATGGAAGTAGGTTTATGAGTGTTTCTCCCTATTGGAAAAGGAAGGTCACAGGTGTGATTTTCAGAAAGAGCATGGCAACTGTCTGGTCTGTCCAGTGCTCTAGATGGTTAGGACTTGGCATCAGAAAGTTAGTGTGCCAGGTGTGGTGGTTCATGTCTGTAATCCAGATACTTGGATATCAGAAAGTTTGAACTTTAAGGCCAGTCCAGGCAAAAAAGTAGCAAGATGCCATCTCAATAAGCTGGGCATGGTGATGCATGCCTATCATCCCAGCTGTGTGGAAGGCTGTAGATAGGGGAATTATATTTCAAGAGCACAAGGCGCTATCTAGAAGCTGGCTAAAGCAAAACGGGCTGGGTCATGGCTCAAGTAGTAGAACACCAGTCTAGCTAGGTAGCATGAGCCTCTGAGTTCAGAACCTGGTACCACATAGAAAAAGTGCAGCTTCATTTTGAGCAGTTCTTGGTTTAAAGCGAACTCTGTGTGTGTGTGTGTCTTTGAATCCTGTAACATGTACAGTTATTCCCTGGTGTCTCCAGAGGTTGGTTCCAGGACTTTTCCCTCTCCTTGCCATATAGCAGAACGCAAAGATGCTTGGGCTGGGAAGGTGGCTCAGTGGTAGAGTGCTTGCCTTGCGTGCCTGAGGCCCTGGGTTCGATTCCTCAGCACCACGTAAGAAAAAATTAAAAAAAAGAATGCAAAGATGCTTTGCCTGTACCTGTGATGACACCTGTGTACTGTAAATCATCTCCAGAGTCCTTGTCTTGATCATACATGATATGATACAGATGCTGTCTAGATCACTGCTACACCTATTGTTTAATGAATAATGACAAAACCAGTCCACACATATTTCATAGAGACTTTTCTCCAAATATTTTCGGTCTGTGGTTGTTTAACTTCACAGATGTGGAACCCACTAGATAGAGAAAGCCAGCTCTGTAGTTTTCCCCAGTATTTTTGGATGTGAAAATAGATAAGAGTAAATACAGCTTAGACTGAACCCTAATCAAATTAAGCAGATTCAAGAGGTCTGGGTGATGGCAAATGATGATGTTAGACATGCTCTCCATCTGAGATAAATGCAGTTGAATTTAATGAATATTTCCCTTAACAGTTTGTTTAAACTAATAATTATCTGAAAGCTTTGTATTAAAATTAGAACCTGAGCCCAAATGGATCTTTGCACACTTGAGGATGAGTTCATTGTTGGTGGTGTGTGGTCTTTGCTGCACATCACACACGTTGTGTGGACTGATCCACCGTGTTTGTAGACTACTCACTAGATGGCTGAGCACAGAGGCCACCTTCCTCCTGAAGCTCACACTCAGGCCTCAAAGCCCACTACTGCTTCAGAGTGCCTGGGTCCTGAGGCTCAGGGGTGAGAGGTGGCAGAGTCTCTGCTGAGAATAGCACCTTATTAGAGCGACAGCAGCGAGGAGGCCTTCTCCTTCTCTTCATCCTAGTGCATTCCCTTATTACCAGCTGACGGGGTGGTTTTTCTTACTGCGGAAGTAGAATATTCATTCTCCAGGCTTGTAGGCACTTTTATTGATGCTTTTATAAAACAGGAGAATATGTATTTTCAAGTACATATACTATAAAGGCTTAGTTCTCTTTACTTTTACTCAGATAATTGTGTCACAACTCAGTAAAATTATTTAATTTCTCTTTATTCTGATACTTGCCTTTCAATTGGGCTGTAAGGATTGTAATCTACTTTGTTCAAATCAGGACCCTGAATAATTGTTTTGGGGTGTGTGTGTGTGTGTGTGTGTGTGTGTGTGTGTGTGTGTGTTTTCAGTCATGGAGCTTTAACTCTGTACCTGGTGTGTGTGTGTGTGTGTTTTATCAGTCATGCGGCTTTAACTCTGGGCCTGATGTATGTGTATGTGTGTGTGTGTGTGTTTTGTCAGTCATGGGGCTTTAACTCTGGACCTGGGTGTGTGTGTGTGTGTGTGTCTGTGTGTGTGTTGTCAGTCATGGGGCTTTAACTCTGGGCCTAGGCGCTGTCCCTGAGCTCTTCAGCTCAAGGCGAGTGCTCTACCACTTGAGCCACAGCACCACTTCCAGTTTTCTGGTGGTTAATTACAGATAAGAGTCTCATGGACTGCCGTGCGTTGGTGGCTCACACCTGTAATCCTAGCTACTCAGGAGGCTGAGATCTGAGGATCACAGTTCAAAGCCAGCCC